TCTCTCTCCCTGTCCGTCTCTCTCTCCCTCTCCCCCTCCCTCGCTTCCACTCTCTCTAAAAATCAGTGGGAAAAATATCCTTGGTGAGGATTAACAACAACAACAAAGGAACAGATTGTTAACCAGCCAACTCATGTGCGACAGCCCCTCTCGGTGGCTTCCGAGGGTGAGTGCTCCTCAGCTCCTGGGAGGAGGGAGACCCTGTGTTGCCCTCGGTGGCTTGGCCCACTGTCTTAGCCTCTCAGGGTCTGAGTTGCGAGATGAGTCTTCAGACAACTTTCTGTGATTCTCCTGTTCTGTGTATTGAAGTTGCATGAGCTTGTCCTTGTAAAACAGCAGGACCATTGTCTAAAGGGACGGAATGTTCTGGATGCCCACTTTAGCCAGCCTAAGCCCTGAACAGTCACAAACAGTTTTTTTGATTTACAGAAGCCAGGACAGGCGTCTGGCAGCCCTAGATAAATAGTACTTGAGACTCTTCCTTTTTCCCTTGACCCTCCTGCCTCCCTGTATCAGTTTTTTCAAAAAATGATGGTGAAATCCTTCCAATCCGTTATTTTCATTTCTGTCTCTCCCAACACAAACTTTAATTTCTTCCCTTTTTGGCTCTGCTAGGAAGCAAAGCTTAAGCAGAACGTAGGTGACCATTTCCAGAAACTTTATACACCAGTGTGCCTTCCCCACCTTTGGTTCTGCATGTCTGTTCCCTTTAGTGGCACCTCGTAAAATATCCATTGTGTGGGTCAGGACAGGACAAGATGGGGTGAGGAAGCCCACAGAACTGGAAGTTCCTACCTGGCCAGCATGGCTCAGTGGTTGAGCATCAACCTATGATCCAGGAGATTGAGGTTCAGTTCCTGATCAGGGCACATGCCCAGAGTCGATCCCCAGCAGGGAGTGTGCAGGAGGCAGCCGATCAATGACTCTCTCATCATTGATGTTTCTCTCTCCCTCTTCCTCTCTCTGAAGTCAATAAAAATATGTTTAAAAAACAAAGAACTGGAAGTTCCTAATCTCAGGGAATGATTTAGACCAGATGAGCAGTTCTAGCCTCAGGAATGCTGGCGTCTGGCTTTGAGTGCCCCCACCCCCCAGGCCTCTGCTGCTCTGTTGAGAACAGCAGGGCAGGCAGGACAGGGCTGTGGCCCTGAGCAGACCACCAGGGACAGGCAGAGCAGGCGCTGCAGCGCTGTCTGGATTTGTGCCCTTTGTCGGGATGAGGCAGTGAACAGACCAACCAGAGCTTCAAAGAAGATAAAACAGCACACTTGAAAATGTATTGATTTAGTACCTCCGCACGTTCCAGAGAACTCTACCTGGATCGCGCAGGGAGGCGCTGCCGAGGGGAAAGAATGGGCCGTGCCCGCAGGCGAGCCAGGTGCCAACACTTCCTCTTCCTGGAGGGCCCTGGGATTCCTTCTCCCTGATTTTGAAGACTTTTAGCTTTACGGAATTTTGACCCTTTTCTGGAAGGGCTGTCAGAGCAGTGACCCTGCCTGGAGCCTGCCGCCACCTTCCCGCATAGAGCAGTGACAGCCTTGACCCCTCCCCTCCCTGAACCCCTCCCAGGCGGGCCGGTCCCCCGGAGTCAAGGGGCAGGCACTGAGACTCCGCTCGACTGCCTGGGCCTCGGTGATCCTGCCCCAGACCCTGGTCAGCTAGGGGCTGAGGGGTCTGGCAGACTTGCTTGCGGGCTTTTGAGGGAGCCGAGCCTGGTGAGGACAGGCGGCAGTGCTTCAAACCCTTGCATTTCAGTTTTCACCGTCAGCTGTTAGAGCTTTCAAAAGGCCACTTAGAAATACAAAAGCAATACTCTGTAGTGCTTTTAAATAGTGTTTGTATCTACTGCTGTATCTGCTTTAACTCACTTCCAGGGCTGTTTTTATCTGTGTCTTACATAAGAGGAAGGGGAGAAACACAGAGGTTATAACTTAACCAAGATCACGGAACCAGTGAGGGTCAGAATCAGAGCTGAGCACAGGAAGTCTGGCCCGTTCTCTCGACCCCTGGGCAGCACTGGTTTCCATTAGCTGTCAGTTTTCAGGGCACTGGACATTTAGTTAGGACATGTTTGGGGGCAGGGCAAGCAAGAAACAAGGACCCCACCCTCCTCTTCCTCTTTCCCTATGGGTTAGCTCCCCTCCCTGCCCCTGTTTTTGTGGGGCCCTTGCTAGGCTAGTCCTATTGGGCTACCCCCACCATGGCCGACCACAGCCCCTCGCTGAAACCTTGACACCGGGGCTTGGAGGAGACAAGCCGAAGGCTCCCCCTGTCTGGAAGGGGAGTGTTTCGATGTGAGCACAAAGCTGCCTTGTGGAGAAGCCAGGCTGTGGAGGTGCAGGAAAGGTGTGCGGGCACTGGGGAGCCTGCTTCCTGCTGCTGGAGGCCCTGGGCAGCTGCCACTTCTGTCCTTCCCAATCGCGGCCATTCAGCTTTTTCTCTTAGCATGGGAGCTGTCCCAGAAACCTCTGGATAAACCCTCTTTGCTTTGCCACAGTATGAGCCGGGGTCCTTGCCACCAAAAGAATATTGACTAGTAGAGGTGCCCAAATAATTCGGGACTGCTTCTCGCCATAGTCTCCTCAATGATGTCCTTGTCACTGTCCCCTGGAGTGTAGGAGTGGGCTCAATGGGGCCTGGTCTTTTCCAGTCTCCTTCCTTCCCACCCACAGAGGGAGCCCTTTAAGCATAGATGAGACTGACAAATGTGAGAGGGATGGAGGAGGGCGGGTGGGTGGAGGGGGAGAGAGTAACCAAAGAATTTATATGTGTATATGCACAACCCAAGGACACGGACAATGGTGGGAAGAGGGACTGGGGAGGGGGGTGGGACGGGGTGGAACGGGGCATTGAGGAGAAAAAGGGTCATCTGTAATATTTTTATTTTTTTATTTTTTTTTTTTAACATTTTTTTAAATATATCTTTATTGATTTCAGAGAAAGGAAAGGAGAGGGGGAGAGAGAGAGAGAGAAACATCAATGATGAGAGAGTCATTGATCGAGCCCGCAACCCGGGCATGTGCCCTGACCGGGAATCAAACCCCAATCTCCTGGATCCCAGATTGACGCTCAACTGCTGAGCCACGCCTGGCCGGGCTCATCTGTAATATTTTAAACAAAAATTAAATTTAAAATGAAATAAATAAAATGCAGCCTCTCTTCATATCCTCTTGCTGTTGTAGGCACTCAGCATGCTTCAACTCTTTCCCCACCAGCTGTATTATTTCCCAGCCTAGCGAGGCTGATGAACTCTCCAGCTGCATCTGTCCGACCCCTCAGGTGCCTTTTGCACTCTGCCTCATCAAGACAAGATCCCCTCAGGCCTCCCAGCCCTTCTCAATAGAGCCCGGTGTCCCCTGTGTTTCTATAGAACCATTTAAGCACCCCCAGGAGATAGGTACCTGTTGCATTCAAGTGACCTGGGAAGCAGCCTGGGCTGTTCTGGAGCATAGGCCTCGGGGACATGCCTGATCGTGTGCACGTCACTCGGTCCTGCTGAGCTTCGTCAGTTGTGAGAATGGGGATGTAGCTCACAGGGTTATTCAGAACTAAAGATGATTGTGGAAAGTTTGAGCATGGTACCTAACAAATCTGTCAACCGGTCCGGGTCAACACATGAGCTCTCTGAGGCAGCAACCGAGTTCCTTTATCATTGGACCTGAATTCCTAGCTCCGTGCCTGGCCCATAACTGGGGCTCATACGTATGTGTTCACTGCAGGTAGGAAGAGTACATATTATGAAACATTGGGTAAGTTTGAACTGCACTGGGGAAGAAAGGCACTGAATTTTCTCAGCCAAGATTCTCTCTTCTACCTTTAGAATGCGCCAAAGTCTTCTGCGCGGCAGGTGCTAAGCTGGTGCTGTGTGGCCGGAACAGGGAGGCGCTAGAGGAGCTCACCAGAGAACTCACTGCTCCTCAGACCACCAAGGTGAGCCCACGGGTGTGTTTTCTGTGGGGAAGGGGTGCAGTCCATCCTCTGCCTGTGTAGCGTCCCTCTCCTGGGCTACTGGACATGCAGGACATCCACGTGGTCACATTGCCAGGAAGGCAGCATGTCTCCACAACAAGCGAGGCTTCATAGCCTGAGGAAGGGCTATCCTGGGGTCCAAATCCAGCTCCACCACCTACTGGCACTGCTCCCCTCTGTCCCTTTACCTGGCTGATATCTGCCCATCTCCTTTCTGTTGGGTGGGGGGAGGGCAGGTTGGTAATGACTTTTATAATTTTAATTATGGAAAAATAGACATAACACAGTGTTTATCATTTTACTGATTTATAAGTGTACAACTCAGTGGCATTAAATACACTCACAATGTATGTAATTATCACCACTGTCTATACCTAATCCTTTTATCATCCCTTACAAAATTGGTACCCATTGAACAGTAATTCATTCTTACCCCCTGGAAACCTCTATTCTACTTTCTGTCTCTATGAATCTGTCTATTCTAGATACCTCATATGAATGGAATAATACAAGATTTGTCCTTTTGTGCCTGGCTACTTCACGAAGCATAATGTTTTCAAAGTTCATCTGTATTATAATAGCATGTATCAAAATGTCATTCCTTGTGCCCTGGCCAGTGTGGCTCGGTTTGTTGGGCATTGCTGTGCACCTAAAGGTTGCTAGTGAGATTCCCTGTTAGGGCACATGCCTGGGTTGTAGGCTTGATCTCCAGTAGGATCTGTGACTCTCTCTCATCATTGATGTTTCTGTCTCTCCCTCTCCCTTCCTCTTTCTGAAAAATCAATCAATAAAATTTTTTTTAAAATTTCATTCATTTGTTGATGGACACTGTGGTTGTTTCCACGTTTTGGCTATTATGAATGCTACTGCTGTGAACATTGGTGCACATGTATCTGTTTGAGTCCCTGCCTTCAGTTTTTTGGAAGTACATCTAGGAGTGGAATCTCTTGATCATATGGTAGTTTCATGTTCAACCTTTTGAGTAGCTGCCAAACTGTTTTCCACAGCAGCTGTACCACTTTATATTCCTACCAGCAATGCACAGGGTTCCAAATGTCTCCACATCCTGCCAATACTTGTTATTTTCTGTTTGTTTGTTTTTAATTATACCCATCCTAGGAGGTATGGCCAACTTAGTTTTTTTTTTTTGCAGACTCTTAAATTTTATTTTTCAATTACAGTTTATATTCAGTATTATTTTGTATTAGTTTTGGGAGTACAGCATAGTGGTTAGATAATTGTATACTTTACAAAATGTTCGCCCGATATTTCCAGTATCCACCTGGTGCCATACATAGTTATTACAGTATTACTGACTATATTCCCTGTGCTGTACTTTACAACATGTGACTATAGTCATGGGACTACCAATCTGTACTTCTTAATCACGTCACCTTTTTTTCCCAGTCTCCAGCCCCACTCTCCTCTGGCAGCCTGTCTCAGTCTGTTTCAGTTTTGTTTGTTTTGTTCTTTAGATTCCATATCTAAGTGAAATCATATGGTATGTTTTTCTCTGACATTTCACTTGGCATAATACCCTCTAGGTCCATCCATGGCGTTGCAAATGGTAAGATTTTGTTTTTTTTCTATGGTCGAGTAATATTTCGTTGTGAACGTGTACCACGGTTTTGTTTTTTTTCTGTTTCTGTTTTTCTAATCTCACCCGAGGACATTTTCATTGATTTTTAGAGAGAAGAAAAGGGAGAGAAAGAAACACAGATGTGAGAGAGAAACCTCGATCTGTTGCCTCCCATNAGAGAAGAAAAGGGAGAGAAAGAAACACAGATGTGAGAGAGAAACCTCGATCTGTTGCCTCCCATACATGCCCCAACCAGGGATGGAACCCACAACCTAGGTATGTGCCCTGACCAGGAATTGAACCAGCGACCTTGCAGTGTATGGGCCAGTGCTCTAGCCAACTGAGCCACACCAGCCAGGGCTGGGCCACAGCTTTTTTATTCACTCATCTATTGATGGGCACTTGGGTTATTTCCCTATTTTGGCAGTTGTAAATAACACAGGGTGGGCATACTCTTTTTTTAATATATTCATAATTTTTATTTTATTTTGTTTTAAATTTTTTGTTCAGTTTTCCAGATTTTTAAAAATTGAATTTATTAGGGTGACATTGATTAATAAAATTTAGGGGTCAAGCATAAATTCTGTAATCATCATCTATATATTGTATTGTGTGTTCACCACCCCAAGTCAAGTTTCCTTCCATCACCATGTATCCCCTCTTCTCCCTCCCCCAGCCCCATTCCCCTCTGGTAATCACCAGGCCATTGTCTGTGTCTATGAGTTTTTTTGTTTTTGTTTTATTTTTGCTTTTGCTTAATGCCTTCACCTTTTTCACCCAGCCTCCAACCTCCCTACCCCCTGACAGCTGTCAGTCTGTCCTCTATCTATGAGTCTGTTTCTATTTTGTTTGTTAGTTTATTTTATTGATTAGATTCCACATATGAGTGAGATCATATGGTATGTGTCTTTCTCTGACTGGCTTATTTCACTTAGCATAATACTCTCCAGATCCATCCATGCTGTCACAACGGGTAAGATTTCCTTCCTTTATACAGCCAAGTAATATTCCAGTGTGTTAATGTCCCACAGCTTTTTTTTTTTTAATTTATCTTTATTGTTGAGAGTATTACAGGTGTCCCATTTTTTCCCCACAACTGACCCCGTCCACTTCGCTCCCACCCCCTCCCCAGGCCTTCACCCCGTTATTGACTGTGTCCATGGGTTATGCTTATATGCATATAATTTCTTTGGTTAATTTCTTCCCACCCTCCACCCCCCTTCCCTTTCCTCTGAAATATGATTGTCTGTTACATGTGTCAATAAATCTATTTAGTTTGTCAGATTATTTTGTTCATTATCTTCTTAAAGAAGACACTTCAACTTTTCCTGTAGTGCTGGTCTGGTGGTGATGAACTCCTTTAGCTTTTTCTTATGTGTGAAGCTCGTTATCTGACCTTTAATTCTAAATGATAGCTTTGCTGGGTAGAGTAATCTTGGTTGTAGTTCCATGTTTTTCATCACTTTGAGTATTTCTTGCCACTCCCTTCTGGCCTGCAAAGTTTCTGTTGAGAAATCAGCTGACAGTCTTATGGGAGCTCCCTTGTAGGTAACTAACTGCTTTTCTCTTGCTGCTTTTAAGATTCTCTCTTTGTCTTTAACCTTTGGCATTTTAATTATGATGTGTCTTGCTGTGGGCCTCTTTGGTTTCCTCTTGTTTGGGACCTTCTGTGCTTCCTGTACTTGTAAGTCTATTTCTTTCCCCAGGTAGGGGAAGTTTTCTGTACCCACAGCTTTTTTACCCATTCATGTACTGATGGGCAATTGCACTGCTTCCAAATTTTGGTTATTGTAAATAATGCTGCAGTGAACATAGGGGTGCATAAATTTTTTCTGATTAGTGTTTTAGGCTTTTTCAGATATACCCCTAGAAGTGAAATCACTGGGTCATAAGGTAGTTCCAGTTTTAATTTTTTGAGGAAACTCCATACCGTTTTCCATAGTGGCTGCACCAGTCTGCATTCCCACCAGCAGTGTACCAGGGCTCCCCTTTCTCCACAACCTCGCCAGCACTTGTTTGTTGATTTATTGATGGCAGCCATCATGGCAGGTGTGAGGTGATATCATTGTGGTTTCAATTTGCATTTTTCTGATGATTAGTAACACTGAGCATCTTTTCATATGTCTCTTGGCCATTTGTATGTCCTCTTTGGAGAAGCATCTATTCAGGTGCTTTGCTCATTTATTAATTGTTTTTATGGTGTTGCATTTTATAAATTCTTTATAAATTTTGCATATTAACCCCTTATCAGATGTATCATTTGCAAATATGTTCTCCAATTCAGTGGGTTGTCTTTTCATTTTGTTGATGGTTTCCTTTGCTGTGCAAAAAGTTTTGAGCTTGATGTTGTCCCATTTGTTTATTTTTTTTGTTTCCTTTGCTGGAGGAGACATATCAGAAAAAATATTGTTACAAGAAGTGTCTTGAGATTTTACTGCCTATGTTTTCTTCTAGGATTTTTATAGTTTCATGTCTAACATATAAACCAAAAAAAGAGACCTATATCTCTGATGAACCCAGATGCCAAAACCCTAAACAAAGTATTAGCAAATCAAATACAACAGTACATTAGAAAAATAACACATCACGATCACATGGGGTTCATTCCAGGGGCACGAGGGTGGTTTAACATATGCAAATTGATCAATGTGCTACACCACACTAACAAAAGAAAGAACAAAAATCATGATCGTATCAATAGATGCAGAAAAAGCATTTGATAAGATACGACATTCATTTATGAATAAAACAATAAAATAGGAATAGAAGGACAGTACCTCAACATAATAAAGGCCATATCTGACAGACCCTCAGCCAATATCATACTTAATAATGAAAACTGAAAGCTTTTCCTCTAAGATCAGGAACAAGACAAGGATGCCCACTCTCACCATTTATTCAACATAGTCCTGGAAGCCTAGCCAGAGCAGTCGGGCAAGAGAAAGAAATAAAGTAAGTGAAGTAAATAAAAGTGTCACTTTTTGCAGATGACATGATGCTGTATATAGAAAACCCTAAAGATGCCACCAAAAAACTATTAGAAACAATAAACAAATACAGTAAAGTTGTAGGATACAAAATCAATGTACAAAAATCCACTGCCTTCCTGTATACTAACAACAAAACTTCAGAAGAAGAAATGAAAAAAACAATTCCTTTTGCAATTGCAACCAAACGAATAAAATACCTAGGAATGAACTTAACAAAGAACATGAAAAACCTATATACTGAAAATCACGAAGCATTATTGAAAGAGACTGGAAAAGACATAGCACTACCTGATATCAAACTATACTATAAGGTCATAGAACTCAAAACCAGATGGTACTGGCATAAAAAAATACACATAGATCAATGGAACAGAATAGAGAGCCCAGAAATA